TAGAGATAGCAAAAGGGTTAGAATAGAGATAGCCGTAAGGATAGCAAACCAACAGGGAGAATTAAGGGGTTAGGAAAAGCGAACAAAGGCAGGGACATACACCGACCATAGGGCGGAAGTAACTGAAAAGGGGACACCTGGGCAAGGAGACGTACCAGAGGCTATTCGTGATAGCTCCCGGGATCCCAAGGTGTGGGGTAATGCTTGGTTTAGAAAATGGGGAACGGTGCCGACCGGTGAGGTAAAGTACCGCCGGTGATACTGTACTACCATTACAGTATGACTACTGTAGGGAAAGCTTACAGCCGTGCTCTAAGGCTGGATCATAAACTAAATTGGATCCGGAGTCAGATCCCCAACGGCCCACCTATACACGTGTGACACCCTAAACCAGATCCGATCCACTGTACTACAGATGGGTGAAAGAACTGTCGGTGAAGTTTTTGAAGCTGTGATTGGGTGAAGCGGATCGTAGTACCACCTTCAACTGGCACGTATACGTAAAGACTCGGCGCTTTTACCAAAGGAACAAACCGCTCGTCAACATAAGCCTGTCTTCCGTCTTGGAGTTCGTGCGCGGATCGTCGAGCAAGTCGATGAAAACAGTATCGGCGACTTGTTGCTCGCGGTCCAATACGTCCATGCCGAGCAACGCTGGGATGCCAGCCTCGGCAATGTCAAAGTCGACAAGGATGGGTTTCACACCGGGTGGTGTTACCAGGGGCAAAGATATTTGTCTGAGCCAGGAGAAAGATTTGTCTCCAAATCGGAAGCGGTGTCCAGATCAGCGTATGTCTCGACTGTGCTTGTTCACTGCGCGGAGGAGGCGATTTAACTCGCGCTGGACGACAACTGACATCGGAGCACAAATGTCAACGCAGAAGCCGAGAGGGCGGCGTGTTGAGCATTCACGTTTGATTTCCGCGATAAGAATTTTCGTACAGTCGAATTCATGCGCCGGTATCTGGCGGCGTGGGGATATAGCCCTAGGTTGGTGGTATGAATAATTTGGGCGATGCAGATAAGATGCGGGTCCACATCGCCTTAACGAAAATTCGATGGAGGCATCTGCTGCGACAAGCTGGCAGAGACGATGTTCGTCACGAACTCCTTGTCCAGGTCGTCTGCATGATCATCTTCACCACTAGCGATCGCTTATGCGTCATCGAACTCTTGCGCTGCAGCTTCTCCAAAGTGAGTGGGGTCTCCCTCCGTCCCAGGAAGGACAGTACCGTCACCAACCTGGGATTCTCCCGCCATCCCGAGAACGTAGTCTCGGATGATGTGAACATGTGATTCCCCTTTGCGAAGCCGTGAGCGCCCGTTGGCTGAGATTGCGCCGAAACTGCAGCGATGACCAGGATTCCAAGGTAGGGAACATTTAAAGCACTCTTTTCGATAACGTGCTTCCTCAAAGGTGCGGAACTTGTAGTGATGTGAGACTATGTTTCGAATAGGAGCTAAAGCCGATTCGCAGCTGAGATCCGCCTTTCGCAAGAAGCAGATCTTGTTCTCATCAGATCGAAGTTCAGGGAGGCATTGCGGCGTGAGGAGTTCAATCTGCTCAACAAGCTTAGTGAGGCCCTCTGAGTGTGTGGTCAGGGAGCGAGCGGGCATGAAAGCGTCCAGGCTTAGGCCCTCAAGTGTGGATTGCACCTGTAGCTGTCTGGAGTCACTGTTATACTCGCACTTCATGAGGTTGCACACTTGGCTATACGACATCCCTGGACTGTATTGGTTCAGCAGAAAGGTATGGGCAGGGACCTCGAGGACGTTCATGAAGTACTCTGCCTTCTGCACCGTAATCAACCGGTGCTGGCGTGCACATGCTTTATAGTCTGGGAGAAGGATCTCCACGGACTGCGACAAGTCGTCAGTGAACTTTCGACAAGAGAACTGCTGGTGGCCATAGTTTGCCCTGCGAGTGTCTCCCCAATCGAAGGAGTTGTCGAAAGCATCGCCACCACGAGTTGCATGACCGGGTGCTTCTCTCGGTTGCAGGAGGTTCACGGTTGTAAGGGGCGAGGGTAACTCTTGGCCGTGGACCTGTTCAGTGTCAAAGATAACGGAGCCGACCCGGGTACCTGGGGAATACCGAGCAAGGTCCTGCGACAATGGTGTGGCGGGAACTGGGATCGGTGCCGGGACGTTCGGTGCTGTCCTCTGGGATGAGCCTCCGGGATTAGGAGCAGCTCTAACTGTTGAGGTGCCACCGGTTCGACGAGAAACCAAGTCACGTGCCTGCTTGAACTTTTCCACAGCCGAACGAGTTATGTGGTATAACTACCTTCGTCCCGACCACTCGGAAACGAGGGGGTTAGAGGTAAGGGAGCGCGCGACGCTGGGTACCCACGCGCGAACGCAAACCGTACGGATGGACTCGAAAAGAAGGAAAGCTCACGTGGCTGGTGACGCGCAGCCGGTCGGTGGTGTTAGATCCGGACGGCCGGTCACGGGTTAGAAGCCTGAGACTAAAAGGGAAACCGGAACGGGATAGCAATTAGCCGTAAATGGAAGGGAGGCGAGTCTGCCTCCTCTTTACTGGGACGGGCAGGTGTCCCCGGTCTTAACCCCTAAATGGGACGCCAGGACACCTGTCCCGCTACAGTAGCTGCCACTTACTGTGTACCAGCTACTGCACACAATTACTTAATTTGTGCCATTAACTAGTACTTACTAGTTAGCCACCGTACGGATTATACACGTGTGACCGTGGCCACGTGTATAAACCGTACAGTCTCGGCCGATGGTTAGTCCACGTGTTACCCGTGGCCACGCCCGCTGCTACCGGCTGCCTCACGTCGGACCCTTGAGTAGAAAAATCGCCTATATCAACAGTCAGCATGCCGAAGATTTCGTACCCGTCCTCCCGCGAGGTTATTATCTCCCTGGGGTGGTCTTGGTACGGAATTGTACTAAAAGTTGAACTGGAGTCCAATCAAAGTATAAATGCAAGCCAAAATTGGTTCATGATACTTCTGTAGGCCAGTACATGGTCACAGATAAACATTTCTGACATAAGCCTGCAATTATGCCATCAAAGCCGTAAAGTTCGGCAATGTTGCAAAGTACCTTGATCGGGAATGTGGGTCGGCAGTAGTATTCTTCAGTAAAGACAGATGAAGGCGCGGTTAACATGTCAGACATAGTCTCGCAAACCTCAATTGGTTCAGGCATGACTGCTTGCGTTGTTCCCGGAATTTGCGACACAGAATACAGATGAAGCACATTTCTTGCGGCACCGGGGTACTGACTGCAAACTTTATCCTCTTCTTGGATGCAAGTGGCCTTTTTTGCAAGCGAGCATAGCGCTGAAAGGCTTGCGCCTTTGTCATGGAAATTGGGGCTGTGTTCCAATCTGTAGCAGCCGGTGAAGAGTTTGTAAGATCGGGTACGGCAGACGTTTCGTCTTGCGTCTTGCCACATGTTGGGGAGTGTGCTTAGGGCCTTAGGATCTGTACAGAGAGGAAGAGGTTGAACCAAAGGAAGTACAAATCACACCTTCGAATCCAGATCGTCGTTGGAAGATAGGTTTGCACCTTGCGAGAGCTATCGATCGTACGATCGAGCGAATGAGTAGTCGCGCCGTGGAAAAGGAGCGGGTGATCCGGCCAATGCCTTCAACGAGAGAACGCGTTCCGGTCAATGCCTTCGCTGTAGAAAAGTAGCTTGGTGCCTTTACAAATCTAATGAACTTTCTACCCAGGCAAGGAAAGGATAGGGTGACCAACTTGGGCATAAGAATATCGGCACCACAGGAGCTCACCGGCCGGTGGGGACGGCCAGTTTAAGCCGATGTAAGCCTATAGAATAGACATAGAGTCTCTTGCATTGCGCAGACAGTGGAGGTCTCCGGAAATAGCAAAATAGTACACTTATTATGATACTACCGCGGTGGCTTTTGATTAGAAGATTTCTGACATGACTGCGGAAAATGCAAATTGATACAGAAGCAGATTACTTTGCGGGATACCTTGAAATTCATCAGTCATGGTGGCTTCATGGGGCGCGGGGAAAAAGGGACTCCGGCGACAACGCCGAGATTTAGGCGACACACGGGAGGCGCAAAGGTAGAGGCAAAGCGAGGGAGCGTTGGGACGAAGGCGGAAAGATCGCTGCTCGATGTAGAGTGGTCTGCGGCTTAGTGCAGGAGAGTTTCTCGGATGCGATCTGAACAGCATGCAACCGCTAGGGAAATTCAGTTCTAGAATCGGAGTGGCTGCATTGATGTGCTGTGCAGATTTGTGATTTGGTACATTTTCTGGTGCTGGTCTCAAGGGGTGGTTCCTTGAGAGCAATCTTGCGTTTGATACGACACAAAACGCCGTGTTGGCATGCTTTAATCGCAAAAAAGTACGAATCGATTTGCGATTTCTCATTTCCGGAGTCTTCCAGTGGACTCTTCGGAGTCTTCCACTGGAAGACTCCAAATTGAAAGTCGCAAATTGAGTAGTAAGAGAACGAGTTCAAGAAGACCATAGCATTACGTCTTCAAAACTATTTCTTCACATCAGTGGTCACAAATACCTGTACAACAACATCCTCGGATACTGCACATAATTTTTCGGATTCCGTTTTTCACATATAGATACAAGTCTCGAAGTGGAATAGTAAAGCAAGGCAAACAAACATGCGTTTTGTTCGCCACTGCAATGAAAGCTACGCGTTTCCACAACATCTAACAGCCCTTTCAATGGGCACTTGGGTGAGGCTCCAAGTTCCGGTACGAAATCTTCGGCATGCTGACTGTTGATATAGGCGATTTTTCTACTCCTTCGGTGCTGTCATTGTGGAACCCGAGAACGGCGGGGTGCAGATCAGACGATTATCGTTAGTAGGGCCTCGCGTTCTGTGTGATGTAAATGTTGCTTTCCGTGACAAGAGGACGTTCCTTGGATCTTGAGTCGGAAAGGCTGACTGAATTTCAGTGCTTTCCCTTCAGCTACAGGAAATTCTTTCGTTCCTGTGAACTGCTTTTGTGATAGAGTTGAACAGCAATAATGAGTGGATTGCCATTCATGCAGCAAGACGGGACCGACTTGATGTCGCTCTTCTCAGTCCCTATGAACAAGTCCCTGAAAGACGTTGTAGAGATTCAGGGTTCATCGGCGTGTGTTTTTCCCCAGCGGGTCTTTTTTTCTCCGTCAAAATCTTTTCTCTCCTCCACGTCCACGTTGGTATTCTTTCGCCGAAAGACAACATCTCGCCGACGTCGAACGCCATCACGACGCGTCCAAGTACTCGTCAATGGCGCCAGCCGCGCCGTCCGTCCACACCTTATCCAGCCATCCCGCAAAGACTTTGACAAACGCTTCATCCTGCGCCAGCTCCCCGTACACGGCCTTCTGCGCAAGCCACGCGGCCGGCTCCGCCTTGCTCCTCTTTGCGATGTGCGTCAACTCCGCCCACAAGGGATCGTTGTCCTCAAACACCTCCCCGCGCTCACCCGTGCCATAGCAGTAGCGGCACCACAGGGCGCTGACGAGCGCGAGGCCGTCGACGCGGCCGCCGGCGGCGCGCCTGCGGCGGATACAAGGGACGACGAACTTGGGCTGGCGACTGGAGCCGTCGAAGCAGAGGCGGGTGACGGGGTCGTTCACGGCGGGGTTTGCGAAGCGGGTGGCGACGGTCTCGAAGTAAGCGCGGGCGGGCTGTGCGGGGGCGTCGGGCACGTGCGGGAGGACCTCGCGCGTCTGGACCTTGCGCAGGAAGGCGACGAGGCGGGGGTCGGCCATGGCGGTGTGTGCAAAGCAGTGGCCGAAGAGGGCGGCGGGGTAGGCGATGGTGGCGTGGCCGGCGTTGAGGACGGCGAGCTTCATGCGCTCGAAGGGGGCGACGTCGGGGACGAAGCGGGCGCCGACGGCCTCGAGCGGCGGGCGGGCGTCGGGCGGGAAGGCGGAGTCCTCCAGCAGCCACTGCGAGAAGGGCTCGGCCACGACGGGGGCGGCGTCGGCGACGGCGAAGCGGTTGCGCACGAGGCGGACGTGGGCGGCGGTGGTGGGCGGGGTGATGCGGTCGACCATGGAGCACGGGAAGCGGACGCGGTCGCGGACCCAGGCGGCGAGCGGGGGGTCGACGCGGTCGGCGAGGGCGAGGACGGCGGCGCGGGCGGCGCGGCCGTTGGAGGGGAGGTTGTCGCAGGAGAGGACGGTGAAGGGCGGGAGACGATTGCGGCGGCGGTGGCGGAGGGCGGCGAGGAGGAGGCCGAAGACGGTGGCGGGCGGGGCGGGGGTGTTGTAGCGCGCGACGTCGAGGTCGGTAGCGGCGGCGGGGGGGTGGTATCCGCCCTCGGTGATGGTCAGGGAGAGGATGCGGATGGAGGGGTCGGCCAGGGCGCGGAGGATGGCGGGCGGGGAGGGGGGAAGGTAGGCGAGGATAGAGGCGATGACGGAGGCGGTGGTGGTGGACGGGGAACGCTCGACGAGGGTGTAGAGGCAGTCTTGGCGGGGCAAGGTGGTGTACAAGGGGGAGGGGAGGATGGAGGCGGCGAGGATGCCCCAGTGGTGGTGGGCCGGCGAGAGCTGAAAGAGGTCGTGCAGATAGCGGGCTTGGTGGGCGCGGTGGAAGTTGCCCGCGCCGATGTGCAGGATGCCGGGAGTTAGAGTGGACGGGTCGTACGTGGGGAGGCGCAGGGGCGGGCGCAGGGCGCGCAGGGTGGAGAGGCGCAGGG